CTGAATTCCGGCACCATCCCCCACAGGACGAGGTTGCTCAGAGTCAGAGGGATTCCATGCTCTATCCACACTGTGACGTCCACCATCCATAGCTGAGCTCATTGTCTCTTCTCCCGCACAATCTGCTGTGATGTCCTCATCTTCCATCTTACAACCTGGAGATAAAGTCAGAGGATCCTTTGAGGGTTTCTCCATGGCGTGTCCTGGAAACATAGAAACACATGATGGAGAGATATGAGAGGGTTAGATGACTTCACTCAACATTCCATCTGGATCAGGAGGTCTGAGGGAGCAGATGTTCTCTGTGGAGGTCCCAACCAGCTGGGACTCCTCCCCTGTTCAGTCAAAGGGCCTTTGGTCCTCCTCCCAGATCACTTCTACATTTACACAGCTCTGTCAGAAGAGGCGGAGCCAATGGGGACTGGGAGGAGCATGCTCTTCACCCAACCACAAGCCTAGGCATTGGGTCATGTGATCTCTGAGGAACAAGACAAGACTTGTAGACCCTTCACCACAGAACAAGTGACCCCAGGCCTAGGCTTCTGGTGATGAGCAGCACTGGAGGGAGCTTGGAGAAGTATGTTCTCCTGGAAAGAGAAGTGTTTCAGTCTTTGTTACTTTTCATCCCAACAAGACTGATAATAGAGTTTTATGTTTAGCTAGAAGTCTGCTGGAAGACGAGGAACCGACCTAAGAAAGGCCCAATCTGTGTCCTCATATCTGTGCTACCGGAACTAGGAGTGACACCCAACCCAATACTGCCAGCTGAGCCCCAGGACGGGTATCAGTACAGGGAGGTGACCATTATAATTATTATTACACAGCATTTATAGAGCGCCAACAGTTTGCGCAGCGCTGTACAATATAAGGAAGACATTACAATTACAGTACAATTCAAGACCAGATGGTAAGGAGGGCCCCACCCCTGAGGGCTTACAATCTGAAAGGGGAGGGGCCAGTGATACATGAGGAGGGAGCTGGGTGGGATCGGCTTCCCTGAAGAGATGAGTCTTTAGGGATCGCCTAAAGGCAGTCAGTGTGGGAGATAGTCGGACAGGTTGGGGTAGAGAGTTCCATAGGATGGGAGAGACTCTAGAGAAGTCCTGGAGGCGAGTATGGGAGGAGTTGACTAGGGAGCTGGAAAGCAGGAGGTCTTGGGAAGAGCGGAGGGGACGGTTAGGGTGATACTTGGAGACAAGGTTGGAGATGTAGCCGGGGGCGGAGTTGTGGATGGCTTTGTAAGCGATTGTTAATAAGGATGCACCGGTGCCGATACCGAGTATTTGGGCGAGTACGAGTTCGGTTTCCTCGGACGCCAGGAAACGGCTCCATGCTCTCTCATCACTTGTGATGAGAGCATGGAGCAGACTTCCCGGCCAATCAGGAAGCCGGGCAGCGTGTAATGATGCTATTGGAAGCCAGCGCAGGGATTGGCAGAAGGTTGGACCCCTACAGAAAGAGGAAGAGGAGGGGAGGAGTTAGATTTGTAGGTGACACTAAAGGAGCGCTTAGATAAGTAGGAGGAGAACCATGAGAGAGCGGAGTCTTGTATGCCAAGTGAGTGGAGTTTTTTCAGGAGCAGTGGGTGGTCAACAGTGTCAGAAGCAGCAGAGAGGTCTAATAGCAAGAGTAAGGAGTAGTGGGGGGTCAGAGTAAGGAGTAGTGGGGGGTCAGAGTAAGGAGTAGCGGGGGGTCAGAGTAAGGAATAGTGGGGGGTCAGAGTAAGGAGTAGTGGCCATTGTTGTTAGCTGTTATTAGGTCATTAGTGAGTTTTAGGAGGGCGCTTTCAGTGGAGTGTAGGGGGGCGGAGTCTCAGTGGAGTGTAGGGGGGCGGAGTCTCAGTGGAGTGTTGGGGGGTGATAGCCGGACTGTAAGGGGTCAGTGAGATTGTTATCAGCGAGGTGGCGGCTCAGGCGGCTGTAGATAAGGCGTTCTAGGAGTTTGGAGGTGAATGGGAGTAAGGAGATAGGTCTGAGATTGTTGAGGTCGGAGGGGTCCATTCATGTTTTTTGGGGTATTGGGGTGACCAGGGCATGCTTTAGAAGGGTGGGAGAGATGCCAGTAGAGAGCGAGAGATTGAAAATGTGAGTCAGAGAGTGTGGGATAGAGAATGAAGGTGACCGGAGTAGTGGTGAGGGAACACGGTCCGGGGGCGAGTGGTCAGGTGGGTGTCTGTGGAATCCCGGGAATACAGAGGACGGGGACATGTCTCTGGTGGGTTCCTGTAGCTGGATGACTCCTCCATCACACCATCCTCATCCTCCTCTTCTTTTATTTCTTCTTTAACAACGACTTTAGAGTCACTCCGGTTTCCACTCTGAATATAGAACACAATGACATCAGTGGTGACAATGTAGACGATGTACAGATCCCAATTATATCATCTGTGATGGTTCATTATCTACCTGATCATGGTGGGGGATGGTGAGATCTTCCTGGGTGGAATCCCGGGAATACAGAGGACGGGGACATCTCTCTGGTGGGTTCCTCTTACTGGATCCATCTGTAGGAAACACACACACTGACTGAATACATTGTTTCTATGTGTGTATCAGATGATGGGGGATCTAGGTGGACCCTCCGTACTGCTCTCTCCTCTTACCCGGTGATGTGAGGGGCGGCTGATCCTCCATCATGTGTTCATTGTAGAGATCCCGGTGTCCTTCTAGATACTCCCACTCCTCCATGGAGACATAGACAGAGACCTCCTGACACCTTATAGGAACCTGACACACACAATGATACCGTCACCACCCAGACACATCCCTTGTCTGTTCCTGGATCATGTCCCAGAATTCCCGGCACCGCTCACCTCTCCTGTCAGCAGCTCCATCATCTTCTTGGTGACTTCTAGAATCTTCTCCATGTTGTGTCTCTCGGGTTTTAGGGAGTAACATGGAGGCACTGTGATGGTCACATGATCACCTGACTTCAGAAGAGAAAAACACTGGATGGAGAAACCAATAGGAATATCATGTTAGAATCCCAGAATCCTCCTCACTTCTCCGGTCAGGTGTGTGTATTGGTAGAGCAATGAGTGACGTCATGTGACTAGTGATGGACGAACTTGCTATTGAAGTCTATAGAAGGTAAATGTTAGAAAGAAATTCTCTCTTGTTTTCAAGCCTAATGGACAAGGGAGCTGGGCTCTGCTCTGGGGACATGTACCAATAATACCGTTCAGCGGGGAGATGACCTCCATTTATGCAATATGAAGAGTGACATGTAAGCCCTTTATGTAGGCCCCATATGAAGAGGGAGAGATGAGGCATTTTGTGATTCAGGAAGAAAAATGACATTGGATGAAGTCAGAGACACAAAGCAGTGAACAAAGATGTCCCCTGCACACCATCCAGCAATGGAGACCTCGGGTAGTAGTGGTGCTTGTAGTGAAGTCCAAGGATTGGTGCCATGCGCATACAGAGGTAACAGCAATGAGGATCACCAGCACTCATACCATGAAATAAAACCAAGTGTTCTGTTTATTGAAGGAGCACGTCACATGCGTTGTATAGCCAACGTTCCGGAACCACGTAGGATCCCTTCATCAGGGCTGACATAGTGACAACAGAGGGAAATAAAAGTCCTCTTATATATACCCCAAACATCTCCTCTTTATTCTGCCCCTGGATGACATCCCGCCTCGCTGATGCTGTGCCTCTCCCTCACTTTCTTCCTCTACACTCCGGGGCCCCCCAGGTACCATCTGCTACCTCATCAACCCCCCACCTTCCTCATCACTGGAGACCACATGGCAGGAACATCACTGACAATTGATTCTTCCTGCATGGTGTCCCCTCCCCCTGTGTGACATGTGATCTCTTCCTCAACATCCGATAACATCAACTGCTGCCCAACCTCCTGCAGCAAGCGACGGAAGCCGCGCCGAAATAATTCCACCGACTCCTTCCTGACAGTTTGCATGGCGACGGCGGGATGACATGGTGAAGAAGAGGGAACATTTGTAGCTGCATAGGACACTGAGCTACTCCGGACCTGAGAGGAGGATGATGATGATGATGATGATGGAGGCTTGGATATTCACTCCACCACCACCGTCCATGTTCCGGCTATATGGCACGGCCACTGCCAGACAGGAAGGGGAGATGTGTCCGGCCACCACTTTGGTCTGCGGATGCACAACCAGCTTGCCACCTTCTGGCTGCACTTGAAGAACCTCGGCCTCTCCC